TTGCCTAACATTAGCCGAAATTAATGTTTTTTGTTCACAACACATTGACACACAAGGTAATTTGCAGCCGTAACATATTGTGCATGCATAAATGAAAACGAGGCAAAAATGGAATACATTTGGATTGGTACACATCATGATACTCATACGATACACATGTATGAACCATAACACTCTATTATTGATAAATACACTTTATTTACATCTACTATAATACCATTAAAACTATGTTGCATCTGTTTGTCACGTACGTTGGTAGTGTACTACATTATGCTTGTGAAACATGGGCTGTTTGCAAGGCTATCGAAGTCGAAAAAATTCGTTTGGAATTTTGTAAAAGTATTTTATGCGTTAAAAATCAACATGTAATGCAATGGTTTATTTTGAGCTGGGTCGATTACCTCTTGTTAACCAACATTTATTCAGAATATTTAGATATTGGTTTAAGCTGTTGAATTTTGATAATTGAATTTTGAATGAAGTATATCAGTTTATGCTGAAAGAAACGGGAAAAGATAACCCAAAGCAAACTTGGTTGTTATTTGTAAAGCAAAAATTATTCGAACTTGGTTTAGGCTACATCTGGATCAGGCAAACTCCTTCCGATATCATCCTTTTATCATCAATTAAGCAACGCAAAGGCGATCAGGCTAAACAAAATCTATTTAATTTTCTTACTATGTCTAGTAAATGTGATCTCTACCGGTTCTTGGTAGATGATTTGTCACTTCAGTTTTATTTAACCAAATATTTACCAAAACAGCACAGAATTCTTATCTCTCAACTTCGTTTATCAACTCATAACAACCTAGCTACAGAAACTGGTAGATATAGAAATACTGATAGGTATAATAGACTTTGTAATAATTGTGACCTATTAGAAGTAGAAGATGAATTCCATTTTCTTTTTACCTGTCCCATACATTCTGATCTTAGGAGAAAATACATTAAAATTATTACTGGTATAAGCCATCTGTTTTCAAAGTTATAGAATTATTGAACTTTACTGGGCAAATACATTATTGAAGCGAACAAACGTAGAAGTATCTGATTATTAATGACAATACATTGACATTTCTGTTTTCTTATGATTTTTGTTGTTGTTGTTGTTGTTGTTGTTGTTGTTGTTGTTGTTGTTGTTGTTGTTGTTGTTGTTGTTGTTGATGATGATGATGATGATGATGATGATGATGATGATGATGATGATAAAAGAGACAACACTCCAATACAAACAAGTCCTGCTGACAGTAACTCACCTTGTCTGTCTGATGTGATGATGATGATGATGATGATGATGATGATGATGTAGATGTAGTTGGGTTGCCGGTACGTCTCATCATCAGGAATTAATAAAAATTATTGTAACAATAAAAAAAATAACTCTCTGTTTAGCGATGATTGTAACTCTGCCATCAGAATTTTGACCTAAGATATGACATCTAGATATAGCATGAGGGGACATGTCAATATCAAGCATGCGTAGAATATTCAGTACAGCTTTTAATGGGTCAAAAGGTGAGCTCGTTTGTCCTTGCGGAACAGGCACATTTAAACATTTCAAGCAAGTTCTTCTCGAGTATGGTTCGTGTTCGTCCAAGACATTATTTTGATTGTCGATTTTCTTTTCCAGTAGATCAATACAGTTGTTCAGTGTTGCTATTTCATTTTCATGCACTTCCACATTCTTTAATGCTACTTCCCTCTCTACAAGATGAGGGTCAGATTGAATTTTACTCTCAACACAGCTGGCTATCATACGACCTATACTGTCGTTGGATTCCATAATCTCTTTAACCGAGCTCTCGATGATCATGGGGCGAAACTCATCAATCAATGTGGTCTTCAATACCTGAGTGACTAAATGTGATACAGGACCTACAAGCTCATCTACCATGCGTTTAATAACATCTGGTTTTATTGGGATGTCAGGTTTTGGTGAACAAACCCCTTTTGAATGGCCGGAGGACTGGGTGTGGCTGGGCGGGGTATCGGAAATTTGTGCTTTTTTCGAAACATTATTTACGGAGTCTGGACTAGGAGAAGTATCTGGGGTGAGTCTTTTAACACCGGTTTGTACAGGAGATGAACAAATCTTCGCCTGGTCTTCAGTTAACGAAACATTTTCAACACCGCTCAACTGAGACGTACATGTACGTGTAGGCGCTCCGTCCACGGTAAGTCCGTGCTTCGACATATTCATTGTCCTTCAATGAATTCAAAATAACTCCACAATAAACACAGAAAAACACTCGAATGTTCTGTAGATGTAAAAACCGAAAGTTCCGTCAACTATCTGACAAAAGGTTTGTGAAAATGACACAAATTGAATAACAAAAAACAACAGAATACCATCCCCGACGTACAAACAGAACTGCCCTCTATGCCATCACGTGATTCATCAGATTTAAGTAGGCTGAGTTGTATTTATTAAGATAGAAATCCTTGGTGTAGATATCGAAACAAACAAAAAGTTAATAAAAAGGGTTCCACCTACAAACCAACGTTATATCAAGTTCATAAGGCAGCCACGAAAACCACGTGACCAATCTGCATACTCAAGTGTACAGGTGTAGTAAGCGCGTTTACAGGTAATGGTGCGATGGCGCAGGTGCTGCGCACTGCCCATGACGTTATATCACAGCTAGAATGCATGTGTATTTCAATCATTGTGTATTTACACTGAAAATATTTTTGAATTACTTATTAACTGTATAGGAAGCTTAATGGCTTTGTCATGCAACTTGCTTTTGTTTAACATTAAATTTGCTATCATAATTCAATAACACCCCTAGATAATTATTTTTTCTACACTTTGCAGTTCTGTTTCATTATATAACAATGTTTCATCATACCATTATTACCGCCATTCTGAATGCTACTATTTCTGTCTTGTCTGTATTCAAGTTCAGACTATGTTTAACGTTTTAAGACCAAAGGGCGTCTAAAACTTGTTAAGTTTTTTCTGGAATGTCTGCAAATAACACCTTGTCACCAAAGAAAAAGAAAAACAATGATTAAATGTGGTTCAACTGACAGTGGACAATATCCACTAATGGAATAAATTTCCCAGTCGTGTATAATTAATGAGTAAACATTGGCATGAGGATTACCCCCTAAAAAACCGACTTTGTTTGTATAACATCCATAATACAATGATTGTATGATCTGTAGCATTTTTCTGTCTCTCCTCTTTTATAGGTATACACTATAGATTAGATCACAAAGATCGACGGCGTTTTTGTAATCAACAAATTAACTGCTAACTTCCTACATTTTTTACTTAAATATCGCATAAACGATAGAATGACTAGGCCTACACCACTGGCGTATTACATGTGTGCTTATTTGTATTATCAATATCACCTTTCTTAAATACAGGTGTAAGAGAACCAGTAGACAAAGCTTCTGGAAACATTCCGGTGTGAAATTACAATAAAAGTGTTTTGTTAAACATGATGAAGTTACTATGGTATATTTAGGACATAAATGATATTATTTTCCATATTAGTTATCTTATCCGCCCGACACAACTTCTCGAGCAACCCTAACTTCTCGCACTCTCGACTTAGCTTCTCGTGCGCTCAACATAACTTCTCGCACTCTCGACTTAGCTTCTCGTGCGCTCAACATAACTTCTCGCACTCTCGACTTAGCTTCTCGTGCGCTCAACATAACTTCTCAAACTCTCGAGTTTACTGCTATAGCGCTCTAGAGGTTGTATTGAGCTCTCGAAATTCAATTCATTTCCGTAAGTTATTGTTTATTGTTTATCGAGGACTCACTGTGAGCCTTAAGGCTCATAAGTACAACAATAACAATGCAATGAGAGAGCACATTGTACAAAACAAGGAAATCATATCCAATCAAACTAAGTACATACATACATGTACATCTTATTGGATAAATAGCAGTTAAAAGGACAGAAACGCTCACAATCTTACCATCATACACATCATTGTGACAATAAATCTTTCCTACGTGTCCTTGCTGCTGTTAGATACTTTCCTAAATTATGAAATTCTTTTATTTTTTCGACTTTGGGTAACTGAAAGAATTTAAACATACTAGTCATATTGAAATGATTTGCCTTAATAAAGTTGGCACGAGTATCTGCATAACACTTACATGTGACAATAAAATAATATTTGTGTTCTATATAGTTAGCATTACACAAAATATATTTTCTTTATTCCCTTGGTATGTCACTGTATCGCCCACGTTCAATTGCTAAATTAACTGACTTAACTAGATAACTAACATGGAAAAAGAGGATTATTTGTGCCCTAAATGTACTGCCGTAGAATGTGAATCCTTACAATCAATAAATATTAAGTATTTTATCTTTACCATTTGTTTCTTTGAGATTTCCTTGTTTCAGAAAATCGAGTTATAGTTATTAAAGTGATAGAAGCAACCTTTTTTGGAGTTTAAACAATTAATTTACAAGTATGTTGTGCTTTAGATTTGTTTTTATTTGGTAACCAAGAACTATCTATTGTCACTAAATCTGAATTTTTTTCCTGTCTGTTCATAATATCTTTGAGCCCACCAACAGATTTTGAATAAATATCTGGTAAGCAAGATGGCGTCAGGTTGACAACACCACTGTTGACTGCTGGGAAATATGTATGTTATACTAGGGTTCTGTATGTCTTGCAGCACAAAACCACAGTATATGTGTAGATATTATCACACATTATGTAGGTATTAAGCCGATTTGACTTTTTATTGCTGTATAATTGAAATACAGACAATTATTACAACACCTCTCTCTATATATATTCTATCAACAGATATACACGTGCACGGTATCGTCACGTACGTGTAAGTCCTCAGGTGAGAAGTGTTTTGTTCACAAAACCCACTGGTATCGCCGATTTTAAATCTCACGAAACATTTGACGGTGATATCGAACAATATGTACAGTCTTATGAACGTGTACCTGTGGCTCCTCGCGGAAGTAGAATATGGTCAAATTCCGAAAACGTTTTTAAAAAAGGATGAATGATAGTCTGCGTGATACTAGTCATATGTCACAAAGCGAAGAGTACACCGAATCTACGTCACAAAGCGAAGAGTTCACCGAATCTACGTCACTAAGTGAAGAGTACACCGAATCTACGTCACAAAGCGAAGAGTACACCGAATCTACGTCACAAAGCGAAGAGTACACCGAATCTACGTCACAAAGCGAAGAGTACACCGAATCTACGTCACAAAGCGAAGAGTACACCGAATCTACGTCACAAAGCAAAGAGTTCACCGAATCTACGTCACAAAGCGAAGAGTACACCGAATCTACGTCACAAAGCGAAGACTACACCGAATCTACGTCACAAAGCGAAGAGTACACCGAATCTACGTCACAAAGCGAAGAGTACACCGAATCTACGTCACAAAGCAAAGAGTTCACCGAATCTACGTCACAAAGCAAAGAGTTCACCGAATCTACGTCACAAAGCGAAGAGTACACCGAATCTACGTCACAAAGCGAAGAGTACACCGAATCTACGTCACAAAGCAAAGAGTTCACCGAATCTACGTCACTAAGTTACACCGAATCTACGTCACAAAGCGAAGAGTACACCGAATCTACGTCACAAAGCGAAGAGTACACCGAATCTACGTCACCAAGCGATGAGTACACCGAATCTACGTCACAAAGCACAAGCAAGAGTACACCGAATCTACGTCACAAAGCGAAGAGTACACCGAATCTACGTCACAAAGCGAAGAGTACACCGAATCTACGTCACAAAGCGATGAGTACACCGAATCTACGTCACAAAGCGAAGAGTACACCGAATCTACGTCACAAAGCGATGAGTACACCGAATCTACGTCACAAAGCGAAGAGTACACCGAATCTACGTCACTAAGTGAAGAGTACACCGAATCTACGTCACAAAGCGAAGAGTACACCGAATCTACGTCACTAAGTGAAGAGTACACCGAATCTACGTCACAAAGCGAAGAGTACACCGAATCTACGTCACAAAGCGAAGAGTACACCGAATCTACGTCACAAAGCGAAGAGTACACCGAATCTACGTCACTAAGCGAAGAGTACACCGAATCTACGTCACAAAGCGATGAGTACACCGAATCTACGTCACAAAGCGAAGAGTACACCGAATCTACGTCACAAAGCGAAGAGTACACCGAATCTACGTCACAATCTAACAAAGCGAAGAGTACACCGAATCTACGTCACAAAGCGAAGAATCTACGTCACAAAGCGATTAGTACACCGAGTTCACCGAATCTACGCCACAAAGCGAAGAGTACACCGAATCTACGTCACTAAGTGAAGAGTACACCGAATCTACGTCACTAAGTGAAGAGTACACCGAATCTACGTCACTAAGTGAAGAGTACACCGAATCTACGTCACAAAGTGAAGAGTACACCGAATCTACGTCACAAAGCGAAGAGTACACCGAATCTACGTCACAAAGCGAAGAGTACACCGAATCTACGTCACACACCTACGAATAAGTGAAGAGTACGTCACACGTCAAGCGAAGAGTACACCGAATCTACGTCACTAAGTGAAGAGTACACCGAATCTACGTCACAAAGCGAAGAGTACACCGAATCTACGTCACAAAGCGAAGAGTACACCGAATCTACGTCACTAAGTGAAGAGTACACCGAATCTACGTCACAAAGTGAAGAGTACACCGAATCTACGTCACAAAGCGAAGAGTACACCGAATCTACGTCACAAAGCGAATACACCGAATCTACGTCACATAGCGAAGAGTACACCGAATCTACGTCACATAGCGAAGAGTACACCGAATCTACGTCACAAAGCGAAGAGTACACCGAATCTACGTCACAAAGCGAAGAGTACACCGAATCTACGTCACAAAGCGAAGAGTACACCGAATCTACGTCACATAGCGAAGAGTACACCGAATCTACGTCACTAAGTGAAGAGTACACCGAATCTACGTCACAAAGCGAAGAGTACACCGAATCTACGTCACATAGCGAAGAGTACACCGAATCTACGTCACATAGCGAAGAGTACACCGAATCTACGTCACAAAGCGAAGAGTACACCGAATCTACGTCACATAGCGAAGAGTACACCGAATCTACGTCACAAAGCGAAGAGTACACCGAATCTACGTCACAAAGCGAAGAGTACACCGAATCTACGTCACATAGCGAAGAGTACACCGAATCTACGTCACAAAGCGAAGAGTACACCGAATCTACGTCACAAAGCGAAGAGTACACCGAATCTACGTCACAAAGCGAAGAGTACACCGAATCTACGTCACAAAGCGAAGAGTACACCGAATCTACGTCACTAAGCCTTGATACGTCATTCTACTTGCGTGCTTGACATTAAAGCACTGATATGTAAACTGTTTGAAATCGCAGTTATTAGGAACGATTCTCCTGTTAATGAAGGTTACTTAAGGAAACGACGCGTTGCTAGAACTGCTAGGGCATCCCTTGCCTTGAAAGAAACTGTTACTCTCTTACAAAGATAATTACATGACATAAAGTGTGAACACCAAAAAGCTGTAAGTAATCATGAACAGAAAGTTGACAAATTATACAAAGAAAAAGAAATCACACAGAAAAGGAGTAAAAAGCTGCATGCAGAAATAGAAGAACTTATAAAGCAAGTAGCAAAAACCCAAAGTGAAAATGAAGACCTTGTGGTAACTGTAAATGAACTTAAAAAAGAACAAATCGAAAATAAAACAGAAATCGGTGCTTTGTAATTAACAAACAACAAAACCCGTACTCAGATAAACGAAATAGGCAGTTTGTCAGGATTTACAAAGAAAATCCAAGCGATGGACAAACAATTGCTTACAGCAAAAATGACATCAAACAAACTCGTGAATCTATCTTAGACAGGCCGGTACGACGATAAACAAACAAGTGGTATTGAAAGTGCTAAACAGGCACTAAAAGTAATATCAGAACGCGTAAATATTCATATAAATAGCTATGAATCCGAGACGGATAAAACTCGCGACTCCATCAAAGCATGTGCATCATCCGTTGTTGGCTTCAAAAAAAAGTTGGATAAGTTGAAGAAGCTCAAAACCAAACGGGTGGTCCAGGATAATACTAATGAACAAGCTGTAAGACCAGTGGAGACCCACAACAGGTTTAACGTGCTTGATAAAAAAACAGGGCCAGTGCAATATTTGACGCTTGAAACCTGTGCGCAGCTCCAGTACTTGGGTAAAAATCCGACGACAGATGAAAACAATCCCAACATACATACACCTGCAACACGTACGGACGATCCTAGCTATGGCGTTAACACTTCGAACGCACCCGGACACGCCCATCGCGCTAACAGAACGGACCTCTGCAATTACTAACAACAGTAATGCTAGGTTACGGGAGAACCGTTAATACAGTGAAGTAGTGTTAGATATTGGTACCATACCCGTACATTTCCCTACCTCAATGTGCCAGACTAAGTCTGGTAATCTCCGGACGAATGTCAGAAACTCAAAAGACCCGTCAAAGGACGGAATCAGTTTAACAAACAGATTCGTAGGCTACAAGAAAGACTACCGCTAGGAGAAAAGTCAGCAGATTCCATTACACAGAATTTACATAAGAATTGCAATGAAAGATTTTCTGGACAAAGCTGGTATTCACGTTACACACAGTACTTTGAGAGTCGTTGGAAATCTTCGAATTCCGCCAAGTTGTGTTGATAAAGGACGTTCAAATATATATATAGGCTAACGATTTCTGACCGAGTGGAACCGGTATGAGAATGTGGGTTCCCAGACAAGTCTTCTTCAACCGAATAAATAAATCAAATCAGAGAATTAAATCTGTCGTTTTTTGTATGTTTAAACAATTTGGCTATACACCTATAGTTAAACCTGTGTACGAAGTTTACCCCTTTCGGTACAAATGTAACATCAGAGGTGGTGTTGCGATACTTTACATCGACTACGTTTATCTTTAAGGAAATAGATGTTAATTGATCATATCTTAATTCAGTCTAACAATAAAGATCATGTTAAAATATTGTGAAGTATTAGATGATGATCCACGTAATTTAAGAGAACATCATCCAGGTATATGTTCCTTAACGTTACCAGTCTCTGCCCCCTATACCACGGGATCAGATTATGTCAAATATAACTGGAAGAAGGCGAAAAATGTTGTAACGTTTACGTTGTAAATATGTATCTCCAAACTGTCCTGGTGAGAATTTGAATTCCATATACATACCTCAAGGTAATACAACTGATGACGATATTGTATTGTAGTAGTTTAGTGCGATCTATAAAGGAAGCCACTGATAAAGCATTGCCAACAAGTGTATATAAATGTTATCTAACACCGTATTGGTACGAGAAACTAAAAAAATGCATGATATTATGACTACTAAAAGGAAAAGCTGGATTTCAAAAGGTAGACCAAGATCAAATGACATTTGTTTTCTGGACTTTAAAGAGAGTAAAATTATTTTTCGTAGGAACTTACAAAAGGCGTCCAATATATAAATATATATATATATGTATATATATGTGTGTCTAATCAATTTTCAGAAATCGACAGGTGTGGTGAGTTAGACCAAACACTTTTTTGGCAAATATATAAAAGCAAAGCGCACAAACGACAGCATACAGTTACTGAATTGAAACATAACGGTCGAGTTTTGAGAGAAAACGCAGAGATATTAGATGCTTGGAAATCACAAAACGATTTTCCAGGATAAACCAAATTATTTTTTATAGAAAAAATAGAAGCCAGTGTAATATTTGAAAACAATAATTTCCTTGCTAATGCTGTTACACTAGCCGAAATATCGATGTTGAATAAGAAACTCCAATAAAGCTAGAGGAGATGATGGTATTGTTTATGGACATCTAAACTCAATAAATGGCTAGTTTATTCAATATGGTAATTAAAAATTAATACATTCCAAAACACTGGGAAAAGGAGTAATCATCACATTGTATAAAAGGAAAAGATTATCCTTATAGCTACAGAGGTATTACGTCATTGCCAGTCTTGTTTAAATTATTTGAATGATCATATCACGTAGAATTCTGTTATATGTTCAGACACTTTTCCTTACAGGCAGCAGTCTGCACACCAAAGTAATCTTTGTAGCCTATGCACATCATTCAACTTATAGGAATGTATTAACTACAATATAGAAAATAGTTAAATTGGTTATGTGTCCTTTGTGAACAGTAATAAAGCGTTCGACACTGTGTGGCATGTGGGTCTAATGTTTAAAATGCATGGAATGTAGCTTAGAGGCAAAATATGGATTATTCTTAAAGAATATGTATACTAATATGGAATGCAATATCTTGTTTAATAATTTGACGTCAAAGATGGAGACAGGGATTTTACACCAGGGACCTCTTTCCGAAAAATGTACTTGATTTTCATTAACGAATTACTGAATGAAACTGGGACGTGAGGTAAAGGGTCACTGTTATTGACTCAGTAAATATACCGACTCTCGTTATGACGAAGTTTTGAAAGTTTACAAATATTGTTCGGTGTGAAAACTACATCCGGAAGTGTCGGGTTACGTTTTCTTCCACTAAAAATAAAACTGTATTGTTTTCTGATAAACGGACTTCACATAGCGTACAAAATATCTACCTTCATAAATGTGTTTTGCCAGGAGTTGATAAAACACGTTGGAATATTATCAAACTGGAAAAGAATTACCAGAAAATGTTGTAAACTAGAAAACGGTTTTATGTCTCTCCTTAGGTCTGGTGCTCATCCTAGTGCCCTCAACCCTGTAACAGTTGCTGAATTAATCAAAGTTACAATATATCCATCTGCTTTATTTGGATGTGAACTTTGGATCATTTCTTATACGGAAGTTATGATTTTAGAGAGAGCACTAGAAAATATAGCAAAATCCATTGAAGGTTATGAAAAAAGAACTAGAACTGACATGTGTGTTTCATTGCTTGGCTGGACTAGCATTGAATCAGCTTATCAACATCAAGAAATTATTATTTCTAGGACGAATTTGTAATATAGATTGTAAAATGTTGGTATACAGAATATTTATCTCTAGATTTTATATGTCTGATAAGAAAACACAGGGATTTATACCCGATAGTATATATATCTTGAGAGAGTCTCATTGTGTGATGCTTTTGTTGACTGTATGAAATTAGGGTCATTTCTAGGAATATTCCATGGTAAAAGCTTGTTTATAAAATCGTATATAGTACAGAAAAAAAACATGGTTAGAGCGTATGTTAAATGATAACCATTTTTTCAGATTTAAGTACATCCATCTTAAGTTTAAAACAGATTAGCAGTAAATTATCCTCAACATTATAGATATATACAGTGTATTTTAAAGGTATGTGTTAGTTCTCTCATGTCGACCCATGAGGAATTGTGTCACTGCTGTGGTGTGTTATACAATGATTCTATAGCTCATAGCATTTGTCACTGCGATAACATTTCTGATATTCGAGATTAATTAAGGTGTCATTTAATTAAGAAGTTGGGCATACATTTCATGGCGTGGTTGAATAATTTGTAAGACATTCACTTAATGAATACTTTGTTGGGGTACTTTAAATGTCGAAAGAAGATTTGGAATATCTCAGACTTGTAAATTTAAGATTTCTGTATACGAACAGTTGTATGGTTTAGATGTATTCCGAGATATTCCATCATGTAAGACTCGTGTCTACAACATTATTTCTAAAGTCTGAATTCAATTTTTTCATACTTCGTCTTTCGTTCTACACGTGTGTTATGCTTACTTGCATTTTTCGAAACATTAACTTCATATTAAACATTCCTAAACGCTTTGAACTTTTGTTTACATTGCGAAATTGAACCAAGGCTAATATTTCAAGTCTGACATTTTCTATTTTTACCATGTCACTTTTGTATGTGTTGTAATTAAATGTATCACACAGTGGTAAACATGTATCATTTTAAATGTATCCAAGCAATAGACCTTTCAACATTTGATTGATTTAACAAGGGACTTCCGAGTATCTCGATTGATGAATCTATGTTTTGTGTAAGATTCTGTCTTATTGTGTTGATATTTTCATTTTTTTCATCACACATCATCACGTGCACTTCTAACGTGGAGTTGATCGTCTGGAAAGTGTCCTTCTAATTCTATATAAAGACTGCAGAGGTGATAGTTAGACACTTCTATCAGGATCGCCAGCACGGTGTCCATTTAATTATTCTAAAACTTCTATTGTTAGTGAACGATATAAATGTTCATACATTTTTCTGAATTTTTAGTGATATCATATATATCATCAAAATGATACTTAATTACCTCCCCTTATTCACTAGTATCGATGCCTAACTCGTCATTTGTTACCGTTTCAA